AGTGGATGCAGTCATAGAGAATTAATTTAGAGATTTGACCAACTACTCATGGAAACATTCAGCAATATTCACTGGGTTTAGATAACCTGTTCATGTATATGTTCATTGTATACCCAGATACACAGTGACTTTTCAGGATGTTTTTGTATGATAAATTAAGGCAATTAAAGTATAGAAGAAACAATTTATTGCACCAAACTTGTCCTATGCACCCATTTCACATATTTCCTTATGATACACTTTTCCACATACAAGTGCTGGATGTTTCTGCTGTTAAGTCAGAATATGGCAGTTCTAACATTTTAATCTGCTGTGGTTTAACTAATGTAAGATCATAAATTCACCAGTACACTTTCCATCATACCACTTCCTTTAAGAATTGGCTACAAATAAGTCCCTCACTTACCAGCACCTTGGAATTGCTTGGCCTCCATTTATTCCTAGAGCATGCTTAAGCCAAGGAAGGGAGCTGGGGGTCAGAGGCAGGGAAGTCACGCGCCAAAGCGCACAGGCTGTAACCCTATGCCCTTAACTGGATGCCTGTCTATTGCCAGAGCTGAGGAGGTATTAAAATGCTAAATTGTTAGTTAAAGCAGAATTGGGCCCCACGTCACCCTCAAAGTTTGAAGCTCTGAGAGAACAGATATAAGAAAGAAGCAAGCAATTGTCAAAACATTTACCTTTGACAATTATCAGATGTGATTGGGGAAAAAAAGGCATATGAAGGGGCTGGTGGGTTATGTTAATGTTATTAAATATTTCTCCAAGATAAATATAAAAGGCTGTGCTTTCAAAAACGTAGGTATTATGTTAGCAAATCTGATTCCTTTTATAAAGCAATGGGGGAAATGACCATGGATTTTGAATAGGGTTTTTGCTGCTTTGTTTGTTTTTAGATAACTTCTCGTCCTTTTTTTTTCTTAAGAAAATATTTGCCTTATACTTTGCCCATTAATCTATAGTGAAGGAGACATAGGTAAAACGGGTTGCTTGAACAAAGCTCTGTGCAGCCCTGGAATTTTAATTTCTGCTCCCTAACCCACCTGGGGAAGGATCCTGATGACTTCAGTGGCCTTTGGATCAAACCCACTGATTTTTGAGGAACTGGTACAACTCTTAGTTTCGCCCCATAAATTTTATTTTGTTTTAAAGCATCTCATCTAAACGTTGCTGAGGCAGAGGCCAAGTGCTCTAAGGCATCCTGCTATGGCTTTGGAAGACATTAGGTCAAACACTCAGTCCAGCCTTTATGCTGAAGGCCTTCTCTAGTCAGCCCAAATCTATACGGGTACTTTCAGCCTGAGCAGTCAAAATGATGATGATGTTAGTCATGGTGCTCTTTCCTGTATTATTGGCTTCACAGACTTGTGTGCCTTAACCACTAAGCTCATTAGCCATTAGGTTTGGATGGAACTGTGACTTTCCTGACATGTACTTTTTCTTCCACCTGTGCCATGATCAATATCAATATAGCAGAGCTTTAATCTTCCTCATAGTGGATCCTTCTTGACCTGTGAAGATCTGTCCAAAGATCTGTGTTTCACTGTTTAATGAGCTATAAGACTATATAGTTGCCTTGTATCTTCAACATGTATAGATATAAAATTATGTCTAAATGTTAATATTTTGGGTAAAGAGACCTATTTAGGTGCTTTTAATTATTAGATTATGAAAACGATATGGAACACAGAGACATGAGAACTTACAAGAAGCATGCTACTGGGAGCTCTTCTTCAAGCATCTTATCTCCAGTTTAATTTTATGAACTACAGGTGAATTTAGGATTCCATCTCTTCAAAGAAATAATTGTGTTTAACTATAACTGCTTGGAGCTATTGACAGATACCCACAAGGAAAAACTTTAAAATAACAGTTACAGGGCTTTCCAACTTTCAGCAGATATTTGTCATATGTATTTAAAATCAGGCTACAGGCATTTTGCATGCATTCTACTATCCCCTCTGCACTGTATATGCCTGCCATCACTTGCGGCTCTGGTAGTCATATTACCAGCTTACAAAGGGTTATGATAATCAAGTCTGTCAGTGGTACAATCGGAAATGGTAATTGAAATTGAAAGTGGTATCTCCCAGGCTCCCTCTATTTCAGTATCTCTCGTCCCCTGCTAGGAGCCCTGAAATACACCTTGTGTTTGTGTTCCAAGGAAAAACTTGACAATAAAGTGGTTGTCGAGCTGGGTTTTGTTTTGATCAGATTCTGCTGTTTATGTGAAATGGACTCATTTCTCTGCGGCACTCAAGTTTTATTGCACAGCAGGTTAGAACTGGTTGGGATAATATTTGTTCCACATGCATGTCAGCATAATGAATGCTATCATCCCCCTGGTCCCAATACTCGCAAATACAAGAACACAGATTTATATAAACAGAGGTTTAAAGTTTTCTGGGAAACCTACTGATCTGATGGCTAGAGCCTCTTTACAAGGCCAGCAGTGGTACTGTGGTATGTGTTACAGGTTGGAACTCCCCTGGCCTTCTCCCCAGTGGACTCCCTGGTCCCTGCATTGCTTTGTAGTAATTGCACTACTGACAATATACAGCAAAATGCCTTGAAAACTTTGTTGTGGAACCATGAGGTGAGAAAAACAAAAATATATGGCATTGGCTTTAAATGGGTGTTGTTTTTTTCACTTTCCATCTATTGCTGATTCTTCCATTGTCTCTCTCAAGGCCCAATCCAGCATGATACAGAGCATCAGTTTCAAGGTGCTGTGTTCCCTTAACTCAGTTGTTTTCAGTCATGCTACCCCTGGCCCTAATTAGCGAGCATCTTTCTTTTAATTTAGCTCTATCTTTTCCTAGCATACTGCCAGAAATGCTGCACACCTGCCAGCTGCACAGGAGAATGTCTGAAATTCAAAGAGAGAAAACTTTCTTCGGTGTAGTGAAGCCAGGCATGCTGGCTAGTTAATGGGAGATCTTGGGATAGAACCTATGAACTTCATGCAGACATCTTTAGTGCCTGACAATACCAGAACAACTAGATATCTCTGAATGTGATAGAAATTGGGAGCCAAGACATATCCTGTCATATCATGTCTAGTCGATTTAGTTAATAGGCAGTGTTTTAAAGGAAGCAAAGCCTGATGCACCAGCCATCAGCTGTCAGTCAGAATGTTTCTGTATTTAACAGGGATCCCAAACATATACATCAGGCATCCGGGATGCCTCAGCAGGAAGCCTCTGAAACGTCTGCTTGAGCCTTTCACTGCAGGATGGTTATTTTTCCGAGTTTGTTTCCCTCGTAGCCATTTCCCCCAGCTGTTTAAAAACATAGCCAGACCCGAATAAGCTTGTTTTATGCATCTTCCTTGATTAGTCACTGCTTTTATACTAACCCAGATTTCAGAATGGTTTTGTTAGAAGAAATTGACTGCTGACTTTGAACCTGCGCTTTCAGTCTTTTGGTTGACAAATCCCAGCAAAAAATGCATATGCTTCAGCACTGAATCAACATGATTTTGTCCTTCATGTGTGTAACAGACAGCAGTGGATGAAGTGTCTGGGAAGTTGAGGCCCATTGGTGTATAACAAACCCCAGGGGAAACTTGACTTGCTATTCCAAATTCTCAGGAGAAATCGCAAAGACTTAACATGCATGCAAAGTTGTCACTTCAGGAGTTCACTGAAATGCAAAATACAACATCACAGATGTTTACAGGCATTTTTTTTTAATGTAGAAGGAGAGATAATTTACACAAATATGAAAACAGAGAATTTTTTTAAAATGATGGTTCACTGAAGGGTTTTTAAGTCAAGGGGGAGTCTGCTAACGTAGTCTGTTGATGGCTCTGTTGTGTTCCAGGCTCATCTGTCACTTTGTCCCCCCCACAATGAAATGTGTAACTGAGTCAAGATTTTTACCAGTTATATTTGCTTATATTGTGTTTGTTGGTTCATTGTTTTGAAGGTTTTTTTATTATTATTATTCCTAGTAGGGCCATAAATAGTATGTTTAAAGCTGCCTTTGAGACTACTGTTATCATCAGGACTGCAGAGAAGATTAAAATCTCCATTACAATACATTGTCTGTACAGCAGGTACAATGACAAGGCAAATTCATTGCAGCAGCCTTAGTGGTAGATATATGCCTACGGACAGAATAAACACATAACCCTGCAGCTTATAAATACAAAAAAGCCTGGCCTGAACCTCTTTTGAAAGGAAAAGGGAGGGTGGAGGGGGATGCATCTTAAAATGTTTTGTCTGCCTCTGTTGTTGAAGAGATAAATGGTTTCCGCTTAAAGGGGGAATCCATTTTGAGATGTTTCAATCCTCACTCCCACTTTGCTGCCTCATAATAACAACCAAATTCTCTAGATTGCCTAGCAACCAATAGTTTGACATCCTCTAGCTCAGCCACAGGGTAGGTGTGACAGGCTTTATAGTGGCCACAAAAGTACGGAAGTGCCGTAATGGAAATTAACTAAAAATTGGCCTCTCAACAACCCTGAATGGAAGAATGTTAAGAGAGCCATATATGGAATAGCACAAGCAGTTCTCCTGTGTTTCCCATTTATACTATTGCTAGGAGATTGAATTTAAGCTTCCAGACAAGCCTGAGGCAGACAAGATAAAAATGTTGAGTTCCAGCAACAAAATACATTTTCCTGCATTCAAATTCTAGGTTGTGTCTGACTGCTCCATGTATCTGAACTCTTACTGTATCCGTTTTACTCCACTAGATAGCTAAACATTAGACGTGTGATTAGGTCCGCAGCCTACACTGCATTTTATGAGCAGAAGGGATTCTTCAAAAATGATGAGAAAAGAATGGCAGGGAGGCAAATGATAGGAGCAGGTTCCTCCTCCTCCTATCTCGTCTGCCCTGTCTTGCATGACTACCACTCTACAACATCAGAGCCTTTAAATATAAGAATATACCAGAGGAAAGGGAAAGAAGGGGCACACTAGATCTAAGAATGCTATATTAATCATGTATTGGGCATGTTGTTTTTCTCCTCTTTGTCTTTTTTAAAGGAGCAACACCAGGGAAAGGGAAGCCGTCTGCAGAGCCTGTGAAAGCTGAAAATCCATGTGATACAGAAAACATCTCCAGTAATGATGGTATGGTTCTTCATTTTACCGACTCTTTATGCAAGTCAATCATGCTGGCTAATAGAATGGGTGGAGATACCAATTTTAAATCCAAGCACTTTCAGGTTAAGTTAGTCAAATATTAAAGAATAGATGTTTGCCCTAAGTGAATCCTTTCAATAAGTTAACATTTGAGAAATGCCACAAAAAATGTTAATGCGACCCACACATTCCTTTGACTTCTTGTTGCCTGCTAGTGGCAAGACCACAGATAGTCCTACACACCTGGACAGTCTTTTAGCTAACAGACCTAGGTTCGGTCCTGCAAGCTGCTAACCCCAGGATCCAGATCCTGAGAGTGGTAGGGCTGAGTTCAAATGCGTAGCTAAGTGAGCTTAGTGTTGAATCAAAGTCCTTGTGCTCAGAACATTGTAGACACAAGCCCTATAGATGGCTATCAGGGTATTATTCTGGACTGGCTCTTGTAGCTTAATGTAGTGGTTCTTGTCTGGGTGACAGCTAATTGGACTCCTACACATGTAATGGCAGAATTTTTAGAGTTGTAAGGCACTGAGCACTAGTCATAGTTTATTTTGGTAGCCTCTCTATAGTTAAGACTGATTTGGATTCCCTGCTCCCCCACACACATTTATTTAATACACACAGTGGGAGCATCTACACATGCACATTTACTGCACAGTAATTTAAGTTACTGCACAGTAACCAAAAATTACTGCACAGTACAGGCGCGGGTCTACACATGCATACCTGTACTGCACAGTAAATATGGCAACCTATACCGACTTGGGCATAAATTGATACTTACATCATGCAGGTATCAAATTTACACCCAATTAGTTACTGCACAGTAATGCACATGGAGATGCCTTACTTTAGGCCCAAGTCAGTCCACAGACAGCATTACTGTGCTTTAATGGCTGAATGTATAGATGCTGGCCTAAAAAAACATTTATTGCATGGTGAACGCATGTGTAGACATGCCCAGTATGTACTTCTTGACATTCAATGATTAAAAATTATTCCTTTTAAGGAAGGGTTAAAAAAAAAAAAAAGGTTGCAAGGTATCTAAGGCTGGAAATAGATGTTGCCTTTGTGCCACCATAAACATTTTTATGGTGTCAGAAAAGCCAAGCAGAAAGACATCCATGCCCCTTGTCACATCATAAAAATTTGTGGACATGACATAGGCAGTATGAGTTCGTGTCACTGTTTTTCAGCAGACATCTTTAAGGTGAGAGAGTGCAGGCAGCCCAGAGATGCACACACTCTCCAGCCTCCCTGGGCAGACAGCCTACAAAAGTA